GGAAAAGTTTCTTGCATCTGCAAATTTATGGCCTTTATTTTTTTGTTGTTGGGCACAAATTAAACAAAAAACCAAAATAGTTGGAAACCATTTTATAAAGCCCACTGTCCCAGTTTCAACCCGGGTATATATGACTTACTCAAAACAAAACAAAACAAACAGTAAAATAACACGATAGTCCATCATCCAACGGTGGAGATCTTGCTAAATTATATCATGCACCGTTGATTTCGTTGCGATTACCACCAATCTTCATCTCTTGTAAATCCATCTCACCCTTGGCTTTCCTTGCTGCTATCAGCCTCTGTGTTGATTTGTAGTATGCTGCATAGAGTAGCAATTGGGCCACACTAAACAGTGTTCCAAGCCCATTTGGAACCTGATCATCCAAAAATATTATTTTATTAATTCTTTCAGGAAACAATATATATATATATATATATATGAAAATTAAAGAAATTATTACTTGGTAAAATGTTAAAACTTACACATATGAAAGGGTCAAAAGGAAGAAAAGCATAGGTGGTCCAAGCAATACCATTGCCCAGAGAAGCCAGTGAGAGGAAAAATGGCATATATTCCACACTCTTTGTCGTTATAACCAGTTTCTGCAATTACCACAAAGATAATTTAATCCATACCCTAATTTAATTACTTACACAGCAATCTGCATGAGCCATGCACTACCACCACATCTTACCAGATAATCAAATCCTCTTTATTAACAAAGAGTGTTTATTAATTACACAGTAACACTTAATTTTTGGTAATTTTGACAAAATCAAACTTTCTCGCAAAAATTCATTTCTATTCTGCCCAATTTAAAGAAGAAGGAAAATTAAAATTTTTTTTATTTAATTTACTCACAGTAATATTTTATTCCAGATAAGGAAACAAGGGTTGAACTCCCTTCCTTTCCTTTTCTTTCCTTCTACTTCCCTAAATCCAAACACATCTAATAATTGAATTGCAAAATAATATAAGAAAGGAAAATACTAACCATGACAGATAAAGGTGAAGCATACATCATGATGTTGAAACAAATGCAAATTATCCCAACCACCATAGAACGTTGCTTGGTGGTATGGAGAAGAGTGAGAACCAGAACAACCAAGACGGCGATGAAGATCAACTCAACAATCACAACTGCTATCACCTTCAGTCTCTTCTTCTTGTCGGAGTAGATGAAGAACATAATTATATACAGGATCTCGATCACCGTCCCAGTTCCGTTAATGGTGATTACCAGTGTGCTCTTAGGGTGCACTATAGGCAGCCCGTACACAACCCAGACCATGCAGTTTAACAGGGTTGCCAGGTATGGAATTGGTGAGTACTGCTCCACCGAACCCTTCTTCCATATCTTCACAAATGTTGGCCTGCACCCAAAATTCCACCCACGGGAGTAAGATCCATTAATCATGATTATGTTGTGTTTATGAGAAAAGGGCTGTTGGGTCATTCCACAAGTGAAAGGAAAAGAAAAGAAAAGAATAAAAAGGAAGAGGGATGACGGGGATGATGGCTCTTGACCCTCATGGATCTCTCTCTCTTTTTCTGTTTAATCCATGTTTCTTTTTCTGTGTGAAAAACGAAAACATGGAGAAACTACTGTAATCACAGTGCTCAACAATATATAGACATATATATATATAAAAGAAAAAATATGTATAATATGATTGAAAGAAAGGATGAGCTTACACTGGTGACAAGAACAAGAAGAGAGAGATGATGTTCTCTGAAAACAACCCAGAAATGAGGAGAAAAACCCACATCATCATTAATAAAGAAAACAACCCCACATCCATATTATCGAAAAATTATAATTCCAAGAAAAGAAGAAGAAAAACCCACCAGTAATACCAACTACATTACGAGCCGTGTTGACAGCTGCAGAAACCATGGTTGAAAAGCTTTAATTTTTGTTGGCGGTGGAGAGAGAGAGAGAGAGAGAGAGAGAAAGAATTAGAAAGAAACTATTTTACGGGATTACAGGCATTGTGTGAAGAGAGAGAGATATAGAGGGAAAATGTATAGGTATATATATATAGGTGATATGGGTATGGATATGGCCAAATTTGGTTAACTATATTGAAAACCGGTTATTCACTTGCATGACATGTTAAAAGAGACTATCTTGATTCTTTACAGGGCACTGCTCTCAAGATTCTCAAAAATCCACATCAGATTGAGAGTGTAAATAGCCAATTGCTATTTCCACTCCATCCAAAATTTTGTCAGTCAGGCTTTTTCGCATTCTTATCAACTTTTTTTTTTTTTTTTTCTTCTTGTTCTCGTTGGGGGGTAAAATTGTAATATCATGCGTTACTGTGGGGCCACATCAAGTTTGGTGAATGCTTATAATGAGGCAGCAAAGTAGCTGTGTACACAGTTTTGTGTCCCATCCCATGTGAGATTGTAAAAAGAGACTACTCAAAAAATGCCTTTTCTTTTTTTCTTTTTTTTATAGATTTTTCTTGTGAAAAATAATTAATTTATTTTATACTGCAACAAATATATATAGTAATTACTGTTTTTATTTAATAATGACATTTTAAATACTGACACTTATACGTGCATATGTTAACCATTTGGATTAATGAATGTCATAATATATATTTATAATATTAGCCACAAATTATCACTTTACTCTTTTTTAAATCATGACTCTTGTTATAAGGTGACCCACCATTTCTATATATTTTTTATTTTAATATACTCTCAATATTTATTTATTTATTTCTAAGATGGGTAAAACCACCAAACTAAATTGCATTGTTAATAAATTATGTTTTAAAAGATTTGGTTTCTCATCTTATAAACTCTTCTTCTCAAAGTTTAAAACTATCATCATGATAGAGAGATACCAAACTCTCTTCCCATTCTTCACTTGTCACCTAAAAACATTGATGTAAACACATTTCTTATGAAATGACAAAGCAACCGCTTTTTTTTTTTTGTTTTTTTTCTTTCTCTCTTCTTTTCTTTTGTTTTTATTATCTTCTTCTAGCTAACATCAAATAATTAATTAGAAAGGTTAAAATCTAGATTATTAGTAGCTGAAGGAACACGAAAATGCTCGTATGATTAAGTTTTTAAGGTTGACTTATCTTTTTTTTTTTTTAAAAATAAAAATATGAAATATAATTTTGACGTAAACTCAATAACTAAACTATATTTCTAACCAAAAAATATTTCTTCCAAGAGAAAAGACAAGTAAGTGCTAACAGTTAGAAAATCATCTTGAAATTCATTAATCAAACCCATTTTGCAACTTGAAAAAAAAATATTTATAATTTATAGATGA